ACAATTGGATTTCTAAAGGCTTAAACAAAATGTAAATATTGGATATAATGTTAAAATTTTAATAATTATTGTTTTGATTATTTTTAGGATTAAAATGAGTCGAGAGTCAGGAATATATAATAAGTGGATAAAAGATACAATATTTAATAATATACGTCAAATTCATGAGATATTTCATCAGGGAAATGAAGAACAACATGATTTCACTGAGTTAACACTTAACAATGTATTTGGTGTCTATTTATTGTACTTTTCTGGTATATCTTTATCATTAACCGTACTTTTGTGTGAATTTATTTACAAAATAGTTGTTCATAAGAAATATAATAACATTACAGATAATGAAATACAATTTCATACTAAACAAGTGTATATGACATTGAATTATCCGACACGACATACCCTATACGGCTGGAAGTACATCAAAATCCCGAAAAACGAAATCCCGAAATTCATAATCCCGAAAATTATAATATCTATAAAAATAATTATTTATACATTTTGTAATGTAAAATTCATTGATATTATTAGAATAATTATTTAAAAGTTAGTTATTGTTATATTAGTAAATAAATATCTCCTCAAATATTCAATATTATAATTATTGGCTGAGATTTACTAGTGTATAACCAGTGTATAATAACAAGTCAAGTAAGACTAAATAATAACAATGAATTTTACATTACAAAAAGTAAAAATAATTATTTTTATAGATATTATAATTTTCGGGATTATGTATTTCGGGATTTCGTTTTTCGGGATTTTGAATTCGGGATTTTGTTTTTCGGGATTTTGTGTGTATATGTATACGGCCAGTTGTTTGTGTTTGAGTCTTATATTTATTATAAATAAGCTAGACTATAGCACTTAATATTACTACTATTAGTGTGAACCATATACGAACTACATTGAGAAAGGACATTTTATAGATCTATTTACTTGGTTAAATGATATGTCCACAAAACATTTGGTATATTAATTGAATACATTATAAAATATTAATTATCATAATCTTGTGATTTGAAAATGAGTCAATTTTTATGTACTCTGTTATGAATATTAGTTTCTTATTAAATATTTCAATTAATATTAACTAATTAATATTAAAATTAATTAGTCTTTAATATTAACGTTTCTTATTTAGTAATATATTGATTTTGCGTGCAATGTGTTTACATTAATATGTATTATACCTGAATAATGATTATTTATATTATGTACATTATTTGTAAATAATAAATGTTAGGCAATTTGCACTAATCTTACAAGTGAACTTGCACTCTCTGTGTATTCAATTAGACTTAAATATAATATATATTATATTATTTACATATATATTACATATATATATTATATCAATTTGTCTATTCATATTTTTCATTTCAATTTCGTTTAACAAATAAAATGCTTTCAAACAATTGTCTCACTTTCACGGATAATGAGTTCATGAAGTTGTCGGATGAGATCATCGATAACAGAACCCTTAGTATTCAACCCATACAGAGAATACCATACCTGTCATATTTGTAAGTATTTTACCTAGTCAATTTCACGAGTGCCATAATATCAATTACTTATTTTATAAGTCCAACAAATAATACGTCTGTGTATGAGATATGTGGACCACTAGTGATGTTAATCGTAGAAATGGCAAAACTATACAAATCATAGTAAATTATTAGCATTTTACATTTTATATAAAATTAATTTATCTGTAACTTTAAGTTTAAGTTTATGAGCTTTAAGTTTTAAAATATTATTTACGTATTATTAAATTAATTTTAGCTTAAAATTCAAATCAACTCCTAATACTGTCCATGAATTGGTTGGATCATTGGCTGACAATGTAGACATGGTGTTATGGCCGTCCACTGCCAGTGCATTCATACGGTACCAGGATAATTTAAAACTATTTGGACTCACATATAATTGTTCGGACAGTATTGGGTACTGGGAAGTGGGCAGTTTTATAGCCAGGGTGGGAACTGGTACTTTCTATCCATTCAAGTACATGGACTCAATGAAATATGAAGTTTGGATTTTTATAGCAGTTTTATTATTTATATTGTCTATACTTTCATCGAAAGGATTTTCTAATTTTAACTTATTTTATGAATACTTGTTTAACTATTTCATCGCATTGTTTGCAAAATCAATGCAACATTTTTTGAGAAAATCTAAACAAAAGCTATTTATCGGCTTTTGGTTAATAGTATCACTGGTTTTGTCGACATTATTCACTTCATACTTCTTGGACCATATGATTAAAGCGGATCCGTTGGATCTCATTGACTCATTAGAGGAGTTGTCTGAACGCAGAGATATGAAGATTTTGATGAGAAATGACAGTTCAATGGCCTCTTATGTAGAGCTCGTGGACTCGGATGTGGCCAAAGCTATCAGACCCCGGATCATACTCTACGCTAATATATATGAGAATGAGTTTATTAAACAAATCATTAAAGGTCTGAGGAATGGGTCATTAGTTTTAATGAATCCAAAGTTGTCCATAATTTTTCTCATCAAGCGTTTTGAAAATATGCGGACTCGAGACAAAACAAATAATCAACATTTGATGAGTTTATTGCATATATCGGATGAAAGTGGTGGTGAAGAACCAACTTTTCTATTCATTAACAGTGTGTCTGATAATTGGATTTCTACACATTTAAATAAGATGTAGGTTTTGATTAGTAAAACAATTTGATAATCATGATTATATATATATTACTTTTAGGGTAAAAATGTGTCGAGAGTCAGGAATATATGACAAGTGGTTAAAAGATATAATACTTAATAATAAGTTTGAAATTCATGAGATTATTCATCGAGATAATAAAGAAAAGCATGACTTCGATGTCCTAAGCCTTGCCAATGTGTTTGATGTCTATTTGTTACACATTTCTGGTATCTCTTTATCACTAATTATTCTTTTGTGTGAATTTATATACAAATCAATGTTTCATAAAAGTGTTAATAAAATTAAAAACACTCATTATTATGAACATCAACAAAATCGCCAATTGTTTAAATACGTAAATAATAGTCGTGTGACTCCAGTGCTAAAGTACCCGACACGACATGCCATATACGGCCAGTTGTTTGTATTTAAGTCATATTTGTATTGTATTGAGAGAAAGCATAGATATTGAATTAATTATTATTTACTCAATGATACGGTATTAGTGCAACTAAACTACTTTATTTGTAATTAGTGTGAGTCCTCATTATTAAGTTATTTAAAACATGAATGTTGAATTGATTTATTTTGTATATAATATTCTTTTCATATATTGGGTGTCCCATCGTATCAGTAGGATTTGTAAATTAAATTTAAAATATTTACAATTATATTTTACTAACAAAATCTATACCAAAATGTTGGAAATTTATTAAAATTTTATGTGAGATTCATAAAATGTTCACCAAATGCCTACCCTGGTCATAATTATAGTTTTACTGCATGCATGTCTGTTTTTTATGCAAAAAAATCGTTATTTTCTTAGAGCGCTATGACTACAAAGCATTGATGCGAGCATTCGGTGACAGTTGTACAGTAGTTTTACTATGGTATTACGCAAAACAGACATGCATGCGGTAAAACTAAAATTATGACCAGGGTAGGCATTTGGTGAATATTTTATAAATTACACATAAAATTTTAATAAATTTCCAACATTTATATTGGGTGTCCCATCGTATCAGTACGACTTGTAAATTAAATTAAAAATATTTACAATTATATTTTACTAACAAAAACTATACCAAAATGTTGGAAATTTATTAAAATTTTATGTGAGATTCATAAAATGTTCACCAAATGCCTACCCTGGTCATAATTATAGTTTTACTGCATGCATGTCTGTTTTTTATGCAAAAAATCGTTATTTTCTTAGAGCGCTATGACTACAAAGCATTGATGCGAGCATTCGGTGACAGTTGTACAGTAGTTTTACTATGGTATTACGCAAAACAGACATGCATGCGGTAAAACTAAAATTATGACCAGGGTAGGCATTTGGTGAATATTTTATGAATTGCACATAAAATTTTAATAAATTTCCAACATTTTGGTATAGTTTTTGTTAGTAAAATATAATTGTAAATATTTTTTATTTAATTTACAAATCCTACTGATACAATGGGACACCCAATATTATATATTAATACTTGTATATGAAATACTTATTTTTTGATAGACGTTAAATTATAAATGTTATGCAATAAGTAAAATTAGTACTTTTAAAATTAATTATTCAAATGCTGTAAAAAGTTTAAATCTAGCATTGAATTGACAGTTTTTTCAGACGTCTGAATTAATTAAACAATGTTATTGAATAGCAATTATAACATTAAATAAAATGATGAGCAAAACAGATAATAGCCCCACTGTCATCCTACCTATAATCTAATATTACTTATTTTAATTTTATAAATCAAAATTTAATTTTTGTTAATTTGATTAGTTTCGCAAAGTTATTCCTAATTTTGAATAATATTGTTGTCATGTTCACAATTAATGAAAAATTAAGTTAAAATAAAAATGTTATGGATGCAACATGAACATTCTAAATAAAATAAAAAATGTTCTTAATATATTCTAATTAAATTGTTAAAAATATAAAACACGAAAATATTATAATGATGTAATAATGTTTTATTTTTAATTCAAGGACTTGTCTTAAAAGATACAATTTTTATCTATAAAACAAATTCTATATTGCTAACTACACATAAAATAGTAACACGGAATAAATTCATATCGAAGTATATAAATAAGTTTAACTGTAATAATGATCTAATAATTTGCTTGGGGAATATTATGGTAGGATTACATGTAAATTATATAAGGACTTCCCTTATTCGAGCATTCAGGTGCTTTTATGACCAATTAGACAAATTGACAAAATCCCTATTGAGTCAAACAGTATATAAAGTAAAACAATAAAACAATTTCAGACAAAAAAGTTTTCACTTCAAGTTATAATTTGTGGCAAAAAATGTCATCAAAAGTGATCGCATCGCAGCTCAAGCAACAGGCGCTCAGCGCGCAGTCTGTGACACAACTACTGGTCCAACGGCTCAGTCAGTCACCAAAGACTATACAAATTGTAAGACTAACTATAATTCAATGTATAACCACTGTTCCCTTCAAGTATTGACATAACTTTATATAACTTTTATACAACTGTCCCATAGATTGATGGCTCATCTGGTCGCTACACTACACGTCAACAAGTGCTGGACTATGGACTCAATTTTGCCGCATATCTGGTGGACGAGTGCGGTGTCGGTGCCGGAGATGTGGTACTGTTTGTGACCGTAAACTCAGACATTCACGCCATTGGTATCACTGGTGTATTATATGCGGCGGGTATTTATACTGCCATACCTGTCCACAGTACACTACGTCAGTAACAAATTTATTTTTATTCACATTACTTGTTTAATTTTAATTGTATTTGTGTTTTATTAATAACAATTATGATACACTAATTTAATTACTATTTAGCTTAGAATGTAAATACAGTAATATTCTATAGAAACGTTAAAATAATTTGTTTATAATTTAAAAAGTTTTTCTAGACTTTAATAAATAAATTAAAAATATAAATAATTTTTAGGTGAACTTCAGGATCTGATCGAGCAGATCAATCCCAAAGTCTTAGTTTTGGATCAAACCAATTATGAAGTGTTGGCAAAAATTGGCTCTGAATATAACATAAAAGTACTTGTTTAGTAATTATTAGCATTATATAACAATTATTATTAACAAAAAACTATTCAATTCCTTAAGACTCTAGTACTGAATAAATACGAAAACGAGTTGTCGGTCGAAGAGATACTCCAGATGTCACGCCCGGACACACGCAAAACACAACTCCCGGTGCCCACAGACTTGGACACCACCATCACGTACGTAATGACCAGTGGATCCACGGGTCGCCCTAAGGCTGTCCGCCGCACAAACCGTAATCACTTGTCGACAGTCGCTGTGTTTGCGCACAAAGAGTTGTGTCCACTCACTGCGGATGACATCCTTCTGAACTGCGGTTTCTGTCACATCTGTGGCCAGAGATCACTGCTTTCGGCCATTGATGCCGGCGCCGCACTACTGGTGCTCGCCTGCGATGAGACGCACGACGAGGTGTTTGAGGCGATCAACAAGTTTGGCGCCACCGCCGCCCTACTGGTGCCCACACAACTGAACTATTTGGTGAAAAACCCGCAGAAGTACCACAAGAACTACTTCC